GCCGGGGCCGGAGGCATGGCGGGGGCGGGGCTGGGGGAGGCTCGCGCCGAGCAGGCCGGGGGCTCCCTCTCCCCGGCCCTCTGAACCAGGACCGTACAGGTGAGGACTTCTCCTTTCTCGGGCCAGCCTCCAAGCTCGTCAGGCTTTCCTCGAGGCCTCCCCGGGTTCCCGACTCCTCCGCGCGAGACGCCGAGGCCCCGCGGCCCCCGCCCTCCCTGAGCGTTCCCTTCCCATTGAGGCCCCGCCCCGGGCTTCTCTTTCCGGGGGCGCCCGCTCGGTGTGTATGCCCGCCCCTCGGTATCCCCCTACCGCTCTGGAAGGCGTCACAACTTACTGAGGGGTGTGTGCGCCGACCGTCGTGGGGAAGCTGAGACGCAGCAAGGGGGAAAGGACTTGCTTAGTGCCACACGACAAGCCTGTGGCCCCTTTCAGCCGGGCTTTCTTCTTTCATTCATAAATAGCGTAGCGAACGCATGCGAGGGGCCAGCCCCATTGCTAGGCTCTGAGAAAACTGTGGTGACCGAAGTGGACATGGTTGCTTCCTGTCTAGGGAGTACGGTGTAGTGGGGGACTCCCATCATTAAACACAGCCATGCAAGGAAAAGTAGGTATGCACATTGTGGCAGTTACTATGAGGAAGACAGAGAAAGTAATGGGGAGGCCTGCTTTGGAGAGAATGATCAGGGAAGACTTCCTGGGGGAGATGACACTTAGGCTGCAACTTGAGAAATTACGCAACGGCCTGGGGAAAGATGCCCTAAGCAGAGGGAACAGCCCCTGTGGATACCTCAGTTGGCAAAGAACTTGGAGTGAGGCAGGCCCGACGTACAGGAAATGAGGTTGAAGATGTTGCCAGTACGGTGATGGGGCGGGCAGAATATGTGTACTGGTCAGGAGCTCACCATCTAGTGCCACAGGTGGGAGTAAAATGCAGAGACAAAGTTGCAAGCGTGACAGGTGTTGTGAAGGCAAGATATGGCTCTTAGGTTGGTGTTTTAGCTAAGGGGGAGGTGAAAGAAGACTTCTCTGAGGAAGAGACCATTAGGTTGATGTCTGAAATTGGAGTTAGCAAAGGGAGGAGAAGAGCTTTTTTAGATTTCACTTAACAGCAAGTGCCAAGCTTCTGAGGCAGGAGGTAGGATCCCTGCTGAAGAAATGGTTAGCGTTAATGGGAAAAAATGGGGTTGGAGAGGCAGAGCTGAGACCTTTGAGTCCCTGATTGGCATGTTAAGGATTTTGATTCTGATCATAAACAGCAGTGGGAAGATACCATCCTGTTTTAACCAGTAGGGGAAAGGACGTGGTCACAAAAGCATCTTGAAAAGATGATTGGCTGTTGCAAGGAGTGGGTTTAGGTAGGAAACTGGTATAGTATCGCAGACATGAAATTATAAAAGTTTGGATAAGGGTACCGGCAGGTTGTGATAGAGATAAGTGGAAGATTAGAGGGCTCTTTCGTAGGAGAGAAAACCTCCAGAGTTTGTTGACCGATCAGGGGGCGGAGGGAAAGGTATCGAGGAAGACTCTCAGGTTTCTGGTTCCTGATAGGAGGAGAGTAGCTGGGCCATTCACTGGACTGGGGGAGCTGGGAGAGGGCCAGCTTTTGGGAAAATATCATGTTATTCTGACTCTTTTTTTCATAATAATTCTCACAGTGACTAGAAGGCTCTTTCTTTTTCTTTCAGGAAAGATTTTATTTATTAGAGAGAGAGAGTGAGTGAACAAGAGAGAGAGCACAAGCAAGGTGGAGAGGCAGAGGTGGAAGCAGACTCCCCGCTGAGCAGGGAGCCCAATTCGGGGCTCGATCCCAGGACCCCAGGATCATGCCCTGAGCTGAAGGCAACCGCTTGACTTGACTGAGCCACCCAGGCGCCCCAAAGGGACTTTCATTTCATACTTTTTCCGTAGTGTTTGAGTTTTTATGAGCATGTATTATTTTTATAATCAGATCAATAAGAGAACAAGTTGAAAAAGTCTTAAATAACTCCACCATGTCTCTAAAAATCACAATTGTGTGATATAAAATAGTGTGTGTGTGTGTGTGTGTGTGTGTGTGTGTAGGGAGAGGGAGAGAGAGCATGCATGCTGAAGGAGGTGTTAGGAAATTCAGTGAGGATTTTCTGTACAATTTGGAGCTGAAGCTAACAGGTCCTCAGCTCCGCTTACCCTACACCCTCACACCTTTCACCCCAGTTACTGGTGTCTTTCCCTTAAGAAGACAAATCAGAGAATTTAAGATGGGTCTATACAAAGTGTACATCAGTTTTCTTAGAATTAAGCATCTGTTTTGCTTAATATGATCAGTGGCTCTTTCTAAGTTGAACCACTGTAGTATACTTGATCCCACTCAGCAATTTGTCTGCTAGATGGTATTTCATGCCTAGTCCTCCCATTCCTGGGCCTTATCTGCCTTTGTCTTCCCATTCTGGTCACCCTCTCTGACTCTAGCCCCCACCTTAGGTTGGCAGGGTTGCCCTGGGCAGGGATTGAGTGAAGCAGTGAAACACACACTTAATAGTGTGTTTTTTTAGGCTGTATCAGAATAGCCACAGCAATACTGTCACTGTTACAAGGAGTAGCTGTGTGAAATTCAGTATATTTGTTGTTCAGATATGGAGGATATTGCTCACTTTATCAAGCCAAGGTCCTCTGAGAAAACTTATGAGAGAGATTGCTTTTAACAGTGGCGGGAAGAGCTGTGCTTCTTCCAAGCATCTATTTTCTATCTTATTGGCTGTGCAGATTCTGTAACTGTTTTTTCCTTTTTCTTTGTCTGCTGAGAAAAATCAGGGCCAAATTAGAAGCTTGGCAGTTCTGCAGGTCCACATGGTATGCGTTTCTCTGTACATCTGGCTTCATCTTACTGTCCTACCTTAGTGTTCTCTTCACGATGACTGTTTTCTAATTAAAAAAAAATTTGAGGGGCGCCTGGGTGGCTCAGTCGTTTAGCATCTGCCTTCGGCTCAGGTCAGGATCCCAGGGTCCTGGGATGGAGCCCTGCATCGGGCTCCCTGCTCGGCGGGAAGCCTGCTTCTCCCTCTCCGACTCCCCCTGCTTGTGTTCCCTCTCTTGTTGTGTCTCTCTGTCAAATAAATAAAATCTTTTAAAAAAAAATTTTTTTTGAGTAAGTACAAATAATACTTTAAAAGTATATGTAATCTTTAAAGAATGACAGTACAGTGAATGCTGATTCAAGAAAAAAATGCAACCTCAGAGCTGCCAGTGTGTCCCAATCCCCATCCCATTTCTTACTTCTCACAGGTAACCACTGTTCTGAATTTTACGTTTATAAATTCCTTTGCTTTCTGTAATTGTATACCATATATATTGATAGCCTTAAACTAGAAATTGTTTGGAGCTTATATAAAGAGAATCACATAAAAATATTCTGCTGCTTGCTTTCTTCAGTCATTGTTGTGTTCTGAGATTCATTTAGGTTGTTATATATAATTGTAGTGCATTGATTCATTGCTTCATAAGATTCCACTGCATGAGTATGCCTGGAAGAATTGATCTAGTCTTCTGTTCATGGGCATTTGGAGTGTGGTCAGTTTTTGCTGTTGCTAACAATCCTGCTGCAGACATTCATGTTACTCATGTGCAGACATTTCTCTAGATCAGGGTTTTTCATCCTTAGCACAATTGACATCTTGGTCTAAATGTGGAAGGCTGTCCTGTTTACTGTAGGATGTTTGGCAACACTCCTGGCTTCTATTTGCTGGACACTCATAACATCCCTCCTTCCCAAGTTAGGACAACCAAACTGTCTCCAGATGTTACAAAATTGCCCCAGTTAGGAACCAGTGCTCAAGATCAGCTGTTGGCAAACTTTTTCTGCAAGGGGCAAGACAGTAATTATTTCAGATTTGTGGGCCACGTGGTCTTTGGTCTCAACTAATCATCTGTGCCTTTGTAGGACAAAAGCAGCCATAGGTAACGTGTAAATGAATGGGAATGGCTGTGTTCCAATAAAAATTTATTTACAAAAAACAAGCAGACAGACAAGATTTGGCCTGAGGTCAGACAGTACGCACTCTCTTGCTGTAGTCTAGATCAGTAGGAAATATATTTTACATCCTCACCCAGTGCATAGAATTCATATATGCAATTGAAACAAGTTTCGTGAAATAGTATTTGCCCTTACTATGTGTGATACAATGTGGTATTTTTTATTTTATTCCACTTTTTAAAATGTCAACTGTATCCACTAAATTGATTTCAAGGCCTCATTAATGAGTTGTGACTAGCAGTTTGATAAATTTAGTTTGGTCAGTCATAGAGGTATGCACATCTTTAACTTGACTAGATAGCATCTATACGTACATAAAGCATTTCAGATTCCTTTTAGAAGGAAACAATATATACAAATACCACATTGTGTGTTATGTTTTTATTTCTAAAATATAGATTGGCTCAGTTACTCCCTTGCTTAAAATGTATAATAGCTGGTGTGGCGTGGAGGGGGCTGTAAGGTGTTTTCCAGCCTGGCCCCAGTCTACTTTTCTGGGTTTCTCTCTTACCACTCACTCTGTGCTCCCTGGGCTCTGACCACTTGGGATTACTCTGTTTCCCAAATGTATCGTGCCACACTCCTTCCAAGTGTATTTTTTAGGCTTCCTTCTTTCTGAAATGTTCCTCTTTTACTTTGCCTAGTGAATTCTTGATCCTGCAAGGCCCATGTTGGAATGTTGCTCCATTCATTCATTTAACATGTTCATGAGCACTTACTGTGCTTCAGGTACTGCTCTAGGTGATGGGATTCACCTAGAATTGGGCAGGGTCCCTGGGGTCGGTGTGTGGTGACAGATACTACAAAGTAAACAAGATAATTTCAAAATGGGACGAGGGCTGAAGAAAATAAAATAGGGTAGAATGAGGGTTGATATGGATGGGAAGGTAGGGAAAAATCTGAAGAGTTGCTTTTTTAGCTGAGATTTGACTCTTTACCCAGAAGAGCAATTCAAAAACGTTCTGCTTCCTTTTGGTCTCCACAGTTTCTCAAGAAATCCACAGACATTTGAATTGTTCCCCTCCAGGTAATATATCATCTACCTGGTTGCTTATAAGATTTCTACTTTGTGTTTTAGTTTTTAAGTTTGACTGTAATGTGTCTGGGCATGGATTTCTTTGGGTTTATCACATTTGGGGTTCTCTGAACTTCCTGAATCTTGAGTTAACATCTGTGAGGGTTTGTTTCTGGATTTTCTATTCTATTCCATTGTTATATTTGTTTTTATGCCAGTACCACACTTTTTTTTTTTTTTTAAATTACTTTTGCTTTGTAATATGTTTTGAAATCAGGAAGTCTGAGTCTTCCAACTTTGTTCTTTTACAAAATTGTTTTGGCTGTTTGGGGTTCCTTGAGATTACATGTGCGTTTCAGGATGAATTTTTCTGTTTTTTCAAAAAACACCATTGGGGTTTTGTTAGGGATTGCATTGAGTTTATAGATTGCTTTGGGTAGTATGGACTTTTTTTTTTTTTAAAGATTTTATCTATTTGAGAGAGAGATCACAGAGGGAGAGGGAGAAGCAGACTCACTGCTGACTGATCAGAGAGCATGATGCGGGGCTTGACCCCAGGACCCCAAGATCATGACCTGAGCCAAAGGCAGCCACTTAACTGACTGAGCCACCCAGGGTAGTATGGACATCCTAACAGCCAGTAAATACATTTCTTTAATGAACGTGCACTAAATGTTACTCTTACACTGAACAAATTTGATGTAATTCTATGTTTATTCTGTTGGATATTCCCAACAGCTAAGAGTGCTTCCTAGTGAATTAGGTCCTTCCCTCAAACCTGTTTTTAGAATCAGATATGTCAGGACCATTTTCTGACTATAATCTAGGAAGGAGAAATGCTGATCACTGTCACCCTGCGAGTTCTTAGGTCCGGGGTATAAGGAGGAAAATCTCTTTGACTTGTGTATATTTATGTTTTGGTCAATTTTGTTTTGCTTTCTTGACTTCACTTTTCCACGCAGAGATGTGATAATGGATCATCATGTTTCCACCATCAAACCTCGAAGAATCCAGAACCAAAATGTCATTCACCGCTTGGAACAGCGACGAATCAGCTCAGGCAAGGCAGGTACCCACTGGCATCAGGTCCGAGTATTCCACCAGAATGTCTTCCCCAACTTCACAGTCGTCAATGTTGAAAAGCCTCCTTGTTTCTTGCGTAAATTCTCGCCTGATGGGCGCTACTTTATTGCTTTCTCTTCAGACCAGACCTCTCTTGAAATCTATGAATACCAGGGCTGCCAGGCAGCTGAGGACTTACTGCAGGGCTATGAGGGGGAGATCCTGTCCAATGGCAATGACCAGCGGTCAGTCAACATCCGCGGCCGGCTCTTTGAACGCTTTTTTGTCCTGCTGCATATTACCAACGTAGCTGCCAACGGGGAGCACCTGAACCGGGAGTGTAGCCTCTTCACCGACGACTGCCGGTGTGTTATCGTGGGCTCAGCTGCCTACCTCCCGGATGAGCCGCACCCGCCTTTTTACGAGGTGTATCGGAACAGTGAATCTGTGACCCCCAACCCACGGTCCCCTCTGGAGGACTATTCCCTTCACATCATTGACCTTCACACTGGCCGCTTATGTGATACCCGCACCTTCAAGTGTGATAAAGTGGTCCTGTCGCACAACCAAGGGCTGTACTTGTACAAAAACATCCTGGCCATCTTGTCGGTGCAGCAGCAGACGATCCACGTCTTCCAGGTGACCCCTGAAGGCACTTTCATTGATGTGAGGACCATCGGCCGCTTCTGCTATGAGGATGACCTCCTCACCGTGTCAGCCGTTTGCCCGGAGGTGCAGCGGGACAGTCAGACGGGCATGGCCAACCCTTTCAGAGACCCCTTCATCAACTCCCTGAAACACCGACTGCTCGTGTACTTGTGGCGCCGGGCAGAGCAGGATGGTAGTGCGATGGCCAAGAGGCGCTTCTTCCAGTATTTTGACCAGCTGCGGCAGCTGCGCATGTGGAAAATGCAGCTTCTGGACGAAAACCATCTGTTTATCAAGTACACCAGTGAGGACGTGGTAACCCTGCGGGTCACAGATCCATCACAGGTATGAAGTGCTCTCCTCCCATCCCCTTGGTAAAATGGGAAAGTTTCTCTTTGCCTATAGCCAGCCTCTCAGAATTCGCGTTTTCCATGCTCTTGAATTTTTGTTATCTTGGGCCTCAAACTTAAAATAGCTCCATTTTTCTCGGCCACATGTACTTATTTGGACAAATGGAAGCTAAAACTCAAGTCATTGATATGTGAGGTGGTCAGCTCGGTGATTATTACCCTAATTCTTCTGCAGAGCATTTTCAGTTCCCTTGAGAAAGAAGCCCAAGTGCTACAGGGTCAAAATTTGGACTACCGGTGGATAATCCTGCCTTGACTTTGTGAGACTGTGCTTGTTGGTCTGACTGCTTTAGATCTAGGAGTGAGAATGAGCCCACCATACCGAAAAATTTTTCTAAAAATTTGGCCTTTCCTGCTTAAGTGGTTAATGTCAGTGTACTTCTTCATAAAATCCTTAGGAGGTAACTAATAGGTAAGTTAATCTGGCAGTTAAGTTTTATGACTTTACCCTGACCTTGCCCATGTGCTGGACCATAGGCTGTAGAGCAGTGAAAAGATTAAAAGGAAGCCGAAACTTCTGATCCCCCAAGTGAATCATCAGGACTGTAGGTCCTAGGGTATTTCAGTTTGGATGAAAGATCTTGGAGGGGAGAGAGCTGTTTCTCAAATGGGAATCAAGTGGTGTTAAGGGCACAGAAACCTTCCAAGACTCTTGGGTTGAAACACCGTGTTGTAATTCAGGCTATTGGGGCATTTCTCTTTGAGAAGCTCTCCACTTTAGTGTTGGTTGAGAAAGAGACCTACCTTTCTGTACTTTTGCTCCCTATTCTCCTGTTTACAGAATGTCTCCTTAGATAACAAGTTTGGGGATTCAGAATAGAGAGCAAACCAGTCAGCCACAAAGAGGGCTGAGCCTCGTATCTTCCACTGACTTGCAGTTGGTTCTGTCATAGGAGACTGTGGAGGACACTATTTCCTAAGACCTTACCAGCCATCCATGGTAAAATGCTTTCCAGTATTTTTCTTTTGAATCATAGCTTGCATATTCTAAAAAAAGGTGGGTGGTGGGGAGTAATACGGTTGGAGATTAGTTTTTCTGGATTCTTTTCTTCCCTATTAATGATGAAGTTGCCCATTGAACCATCACAAATGAGCGTCTGGTCCATCTTATGTGTCATGGGAGATTGGTAGTGACACCCTTGACTTCTGTCCCCTTCTGTATTTCCCAGTCTGCCCTGGAGGGAAGGCTAGTAAGGTATGTGTAATTTTATATTCACATATTTATGATGGATCTTGGTGGAGCCCTGAGAGGGTTAAAGTGTTGTCCAGGTCTATAGAAAGGACATGAGTCAATCTTTTATTTAGGTTTGAGCTATAATTACCTTTGTCATTTGGAGGGAATAAGTTGTCTCTGATAGCCGCATTTGAGATTATCCTTATTCCCTTTGCTAAAACATGACCCACTTATTTCTGGTAGCTCTAATAAATTTTGGCTAGACTCAGTACTAGTGCTCAGTGTTTTGCTTACAGAGCTTGTAACTTTAAACCCAATTTGCCCTAGTTATCCTCCTACCCCCTTCCCCAGTTTAATTTGATAGGTTCCAATAAGGTTAATGAGAAAAAGTACATCTACACACAAAGCCCTGCTAATATTATGGGTATTATTCTCAGGTTACTCTCCAGCCTCTTTAATTTACAGCCATATTTAATTTCCAGGTGACTGCAGAAGTCATGTAATGAAAGCTCTGGGAATGACTAATGACTAGTAAAACAGGTGGGCCATGTGGGTCCAGGAATTGATGATGGAGACTTAAACTCCCATCGTAGGAGGGGGAGTACTAATCTTAACGTTCTGAAAACTTCTAGAGTCCTGTTGAAAGCTTGCAGATTGATTCACATTGCCACATTCATTGGGACAAAACCCAGGGGTTCCTGGAGCTTCCCTGTTAGGCAGAGCAGAGCACTGATGGTTTAGAGGGCTAGTCACCCAGGGGCCCATTCAGGGAAGGTAGTAACTCTGCCACCTATGGCATTTGAATGCTTTTCAGGTTCTCCCTTTGATCTTAATTGCTACAAATCTCAAGTGTATCTTCCAAATGCTCCTGGCTGAAAGAACATTTATGAAGAAAGAAAGGAAAATGCCTCCCTGATTTTTCATTTGTTCAGCAGCAGTTCCCTGCTTGGTTACAACTTGCCTGGGCAGTTTTAGGACACAGTGTACTTCAGGTGTCTCTCTGCATGTTAGAAATCTTAAGAGGGAAAATAAATGTCCCTAAATTGAACTTTCAACTGTACATATACAAGAGAAAATAATTTGCCAACAGGCAGCCACAGGCGACCAATCACTTTCTCAGCAGGGGAAAATTAAATCTGGCATTTTAAAAAAGTGCTTTTTATTTCAGGCTAGGTTGAGGAGCAAGTAGGAAATAAATACTAGGAAGGAAAAATGTTGAATTTGCAGAGTCAGAAATGAAAGATTGGAACCCTTTCTACACATATACGCAGGCTAGCTCAGTAATTCTAGCAGCACGGATATGGTGGTAAATCCAGCAGTACTGGCCATGACTGATGGCCCTTGAATGATAAAGTGCACCGAGGCTTCCTCCTCTCCCAGAACCACCTGGAGCCATGTTTTTATGCTAGTGTGGGAGCAGAAGTGTTTGCTTGTTTCACTTGTTTGAATTCTTAACCAAGTGGTAAGTTTCCAAGGCATGGCAGTATACCTAGCTGTCTCATAGCTCTCTCTGTTCTTCTGCAGGCATCTTTCTTTGTGGTATACAATATGGTGACAACAGAGGTGATTGCCGTGTTTGAGAATACATCAGATGAGCTTCTAGAACTCTTTGAGAACTTCTGTGACCTCTTCCGTAACGCTACCCTACACAGTGAAGTCCAGTTTCCCTGCTCAGCTTCCAGCAACAATTTTGCAAGGCAGATCCAGCGCCGGTAAGCGCTTCCACTGGGCTTAACAGACTTAATTTTTCTTTAGACAATCCATGTCCTCCAAAAAACCCTTTCTGTATTCTCTCTGCCCACCTCGCTTTGGTTTGGTCTGCCTGTTGTAACCCCTTGGGTCATCCTGAACCTCTTTCTGTCTCTCAGCACCTGTGGAATTACTTGTGCATTATCTGTGATTCATCCTAGAGGAAGGAGAGCTCTAAGAGCTGTAGAAAGATAGAGACTGTGTCTTTATTATTTATTGCTGTATGTTCATGATGTCCTATCAAGCATTTAAGTATTTTTTGGGTGAATGACTAAGGAAATAATTTTAGAACTTTTGGTTAAACATGATGTGTTGAACACATGTGTTTGTTTCTGCTCCACCCCCAAACCCCACTAAAATGACAATAAAGGAGTAAGAGGTGTAAATATAACAAGAGCAAAGAGAATGGGAGAGGAGAGACATTGGAGACAGGAGATGATTGGCGACAGAAGAGAGCTCTGAATCGGTGTTGGGAGCTGAGAAGCTACCTGATCATCGGCAACCAACTTGGCACACTTCAGAGAACAAAAACTTAAGACTGCAGAGCTTAGTCATCAAGAAACAAGTTGCCTTGCTCTGGAGAACTCTGGAAAGAGTTGGAGAATTGGAGGCCCTAGGTACCTCTGAAGATACCTAAGATGTAGTCTTAAACAGGAGGATTGGGTGAAGGTCTGGAAAGGACTAATCAGGCCCTCTAGCCCCCTTCTCTAAGCTACTCTGCCAAGTGACTGTCTTTTCCTCAGAAGGCTGGAGGTTTAGCCTCTGGAGAAACTGAACCATGTAGGCTCTGGTTTCACGTTCATGAGGAACAGCTGAGGTAGGGATGAGATTTGTCATGCTAAAAACAAGAATTAAGTGAAAACCAACAAACTGAAAGTAAGATTCCTGTCCCCTTTATCAGATTTGGCAGCCAGGCTTATGCTCCTCCCGGAGGAGGTTAGAGATTTTTCTTAGGGAAATTGACCAACCCAAAGAAGAGACCTTCAGATGTTCATACTTGGAGTCCCTCCACAAACAGCTGGGTCACTCTAAATTAATACCCCCCATCAGCCAGGTCTTCCTATGAACCAGAGTTTCAGATGTAATTATCTGAGTATATTATTGTGAAACGAATGGTTACTTTGGGCCATTGGCCCAAGCTGAATCCTACTCTAGTCAGTCAGTGCCTTATTGGACGCCACAAACTAAATTGCTCCGCCAACTCTAGCCAGTTAGGGAAAATACCTGCTTTAAATTTCAAGATAGGTCAGACCAGAGTGAACAGATGACTCAGAATGAGCATCACTGCCACTGGAAAAAATGAACTGCAGATACATTAATGTAGTGGCATCATCTTTATATAAAAGCATAGTACTCAGTTAGAAATAGATGGATATTGGTTTTCAGACAAGTTACTTGCCTTTTCCTTTTTCTCTGGTTCACATAAATTTTCTGCCTTATAAGCATTTCTGTTCGGTATAGAAGGATTTTTGGAGGCAGAACATGGATCAGAACTTGCTTTTTTCATTTTGGAATGAATTTTCTTCTTTTTATTATTTTTTTTAAAGATTTATTTATTTTGAGAGTAGGGGGAGGGGCAAAGGGAGAGGGAGAGAGAGACTCTTAAGCAGACTTTGCACTGAGTGCAGAGCCCAGTGAGGGGCTGGATCCCACAACCCTGAGATCAGGACCTGAGCCGAAACCAAGAGTTGGACACCTAACCAACTGTGCCACCCAGGTGCCCCTGAATTTTCTTCTTCTTTTTTTTTTTTGTAAGATTTTATTTATTTGTCAGAGAGCACAAGCAGGGGGAGCGGCAGGCAGAGGGAGAAGCAGGCTCCCCACCGAGCAAGGAGCCCGACATGAGACTCGATCCCAGGACCCTGAGATCATGACCTGAGCTGAAGGCAGATGCTTAACTGACTGAGCCACCCAGGCGCCCCTGAATTTTCTTCTTTTAAGATAGCTTTAAAATCAGGCAGATCATTATCAACTAGTTACAAAGCTGGGTACAGCTGGCTGAGACAAAATATCAAGTCACTAGAAGTAAACTCCCATGAGGGCAGAGATTCTAGTCTGTTATATTCACTGCTGTACCCATAGCACCTAGGCCAGTGTCTTTCATGTGGGAGCAGCTCATTATGTGTTTGTTAAATGAATAAAATCACCCAGTAATTAGAAGAAGCTGTTTTTTGAGAGTTATTTCAGAATGCATCTGGAATTATGTGAAATTGTAGGAACTCAGGAGGAGAAGATAAAGGTTGAGAAGAAAGGTGGAGTTCCAGCTTTGTGATCCTCAGAATTTTGTATCATACCACCAAAAGATTTTGATCAACTGTAGATATCCTCATACATTAATTTTTACGTTGATCTTAAAATTTTTTTGCTGTTAAATTTGAATAATTGCAGAAAATGCAATTTCAGTGTGTATTTAATACTGATTTTTTTTTTTAAAAGATTTTATTTATTTATTTGAGAGAGAGAAAGCACATGAGAGGGGGGAGGGTCAGAGGGAGAAGCAGACTCCCCGCTGAGCAGGGAGCCCGATGCGGGACTCGATCCCGGGACTCCAGGATCATGACCTGAGCCTAAGGCAGTGGCTTAACCAACTGAGCCACCCAGGCGCCCCCTTTAATACTGATTTTTAAAAATAAAATTATTACAAGCCTTTTTCCCCCAGCTTTATTGAGAAATAATTGGCATATAACATTGTATACGTTTATGGTGTATAACCCAAAATTTTTATTTTTTATTATTTATTTATTTATTTATTAAAGATATTATTTATTTATTTATAAAGATTTTATTTATTTGACAGAGAGAGACACAGCGAGAGAGGGAACACAAGCAGGGGGAGTGGGAGAGTGAGAAGCAGGCTTCCCACCGAGCAGGGAACCCGATGTGGGGCTCCATCCCAGGACCCTGGGATCATGACCTGAGCCGAAGGCAGACGCTTAACGACTGAGCCACCCAAACGCCCCAGATTTTACTTATTTATTTGACAGAGAGAGAGCAAGCACAAGCAGGAGGAGTGGGAGGCAGAGGGAGATGGAGAAGCATACTCCCTGCTGAGTAAGGAGCCTGATTTGGGGCTCAATCCCAGGACCCTGGGATCATGACCTGAACCGAAGGCAGACGCTTAACCAACTGAGCCACCCAGGTGCCCCAACTCAACACTTTAAAACATAACCCTGGGGAATCTAGATGCCATAGGAATTTGGTATTCAGTATTTGATACAAAAAGGAGAGCGCTTCCTGCTCAGCACCACTCCCCCTGCTTGTGTTTTCTCTCTTGATGTCTCTTTCTCTGTCAAATAAGTAAACAAACAAAAAATAAAGGAGAGAGCAGATTGTGCCAATACTATTTGAAATTTTACATTGTTTCTTATGTTTGAATTCGTATATCTATTTTATCTCCCCCACAGAATTGTATCGTAATGTAACATTTCATTAACCATCTTGTCATGCTTTTCATGCTTTGCTGCATTGAAAATACAATGTATATATAAATTGGAATTATTTTTTATTTCTTGTGAGCACATGGCTCTAAAATGCGCAATTTTACTAATCTTTTAGTAAAAATAAGTGAAAGTGATCCATTATAGGTTAGACTAAATGTTCAAGAAAAAAAGAAGGGGGACACCAAGGATCATGAGTTACTTAAGGAAAATCTTTATTTTGAAAGAGACCAAAATAAAACAAACAGTAGAAAGAATAAAGGAACAACATTGCAATCACTGAAATAATTTAAGCTATAAAAAAAAACATTCCTAGAAGAGAAATTTAAACTTTGTTAGGTACAGTTGAGGAATTTTCCAAGAAAATAGAATAAACAGATAAAAGTAGGAGAATGGGAGAAAAAAGATGCAAAGAAATTGGAGAATTTGCCCAGGATGTCCAACATCTGGTTATTTCCACAAGGCGCAGTAGAGAAAATGACGGGGAGGAAATAATGTGAATAATTTTCCGGTCGCGAAGAACATGAATTTCGAGATTGGCAGGACCTTTCAGTGGTGTGTTACCACTGACTCCTACTGGCTCATGAGAGCCAGTTTATTAAGCTTTCAGGGATCTTTGCAAGCTATTGCTAAATGCGGTCGTTGTTAAAAATGAATTATTTCGGGGGCGCCTGGGTGGTTCAGTTGGTTAAGTGTGTGCCTTCGGCTCAGGTCATCATCCTAGAGTCCTGAGATTGAGCCCCACGTTGGGCTCCCAGCTTAGTGGGGACTCTGCTTCTCCCTCTCCCTCTACTCCTCCCCTGCTCGTGTTCTGTCTTTCTCTCTCTCTCAAATAATTAAAATCTTTAAAAAAAAATCATGTCCTTAATTAAAAAAATTATTTTGTAGTTACTTTACTGTTGTTTATGCTTTTGAGTGCATTTGTATCTATTTTATCTGTATGGTGAAAATACTATCTAGTTAAGCACTACTGCTCATCTTTCAATAGCCCCACATTCAGCGATGTCACATTGGTACCTTGAAATTGGCCATAGCAGTAGGATTTACAGCACAGAAAGTGGCAAGTGCTGCAAATCATGGCTTTTGCCCCCAGATAAATAATTATTAAATCTTTATTAGCTCCATCAACTACCTAATGAAAAAAAGACCCATACTGAAGCATATCATCATGAAATTTTGGAACATTGAGGGGGCACCTGGGTGGCTCAGTGGATTGGGTGTTCGACTCTTGATTTTGGCTCAGGTCATGGTCTCAGGGTCATGGGATCAAGCCCCATGTTGGGCGCCATGTGGAACCTCTTTAGGATTCTCTTTCTCCCTCTCTTTGCCCCTTTCCCCCCACGGTCTATCTCTCTCTCTCTAAAATAAATAAATCTTTTAAAAATGAAGTTTTGGAACAGTGGGGAGAAAGAGAAAATTGTAAAAACTTGTATAAAGAACAAACATTTCACATGTTAAAAAATAAGCCATCAGATAGCTTGAAGCCAATAAAATCATGCCTTCAGGATTCTGTGGAAAAAATGATTTCCAGTCTAGAATTTTATATCCAATAGGGTGGAACAAAGACCTTTTCAGACGTGAAAGTTCTCAAAAAATTACCTCTCCTATACCTTTTCTAAGGAAGCCTCTGGAAAATAAACCACAAAAGCATGGTACAGGAAATAGTCTGAAACTATGTAGTTGGAGGGAAGCTGATGGCTTAGGAAAAGGTGGGGAGGAATTGATTAAGTGTAGGAGAGGTTGTGGGACCTAGTACTGGAGGTGCTGGAAGGATAATCTCTATGAATTTAGGAGTGCCCATGAATTGAAGAGAGGCATAACTGGGCAGAGTGACAGTGAGCCAGGAGTTAAAACGCCAGAGGACGTCCCAGGGATAACTGCTTCATGTTTTTGTCAGTGAGGAGCACGGAGAGTGGAGCTGGTAGTGCCTCTGGGGAAGATGAACTGCTTCAACTTAGAGATTGTTGTGGAGGCTGTGACTTAGGATCATCATGCAGCCGTGGGCCAGCCCCCATCATTTGAAGTCAGTGAGCTAGGCAAGGCAGAGTGTGGATTATGAGAGGTAGTACTAGATCGTGGCTGAAAAGGAGCTGAAAACCAGAGAGCCCACAGTCTTTGATTCCAGCTCATCCAAAGGGAAAGAAAGAAGTTCTCTTTGGCCCAAGATTTAATTTTATGATTTACACTGAGGCTGTGAAAATTACTATCAAGAGGAGTAATAGAAAAGCAGTACTGAGAGCTAGGCTTTCTTTGGGGGGAAACTGAGAACTGTTGATTTCCGTCCAATATCACAGGTTAATGGTGAAGACAAAAATCAGAACCCATCTCATCAAGCTTTCTAGTCTCCACAAAGTTGGGAACGTTCAAGTTTTTAAATTTTTTTTTTTTTAAGATTTTATTTATTTGCGAGAGAGAGAATGAGAGACATAGAGCATGAGAGGGAGGAGGGTCAGAGGGAGAAGCAGACTCCCTGCTGAGCAGGGAACCCGATGCGGGACTCGATCCCGGGACTCCAGGATCATGACCTGAGCCGAAGGCAGTCGCTTAACCAACTGAGCCACCCAGGTGCCCCAGGTTTTTAAATTTATTTCATTAGTTTTCATTCCATTAATTTCAGGGATGAAATGTTATATTTTCTCCCTGGATTAAAAATACTATTTTCCCCTTGAATTTTAAACCATACGATATGCTTTGATACAGAGATTTTTAAAAATATATTACTGATATTTGACACTCTTTCTAAGAAGCTATGGGAAAGTGAAAAGATTAAAATCAAATGTGATTACACAAACACAATTATCATTTTGATATATTTCTTTGTCTTTTTTTAGGCCTGAATTTTTTTTTTTTTTTTTTTAAAGATTTTATTTATTTGACAGCGAGCCAGAGAGCACAAACTGGGGGAGCGGCAGAGGCAGAGGGAGAGGGAGAAGCAGGTTCTCTGCTGAGCAGGGAGCGCGATGCAAGGCTGTATCCTAGGACCCTGGGATCATCCCCTGAGCTGAAGGCAGACGCTTAACCAACTGAGCCACCCAGGCACCCCTTTTTCTTTGTTTTTTAATCATACTGTGTAGACAGAATGTAGCCTGTTTCTTTTACTTACCATTATGATAAACATTTTCTCTGTAACTGTGTAATCTTTGAAAATTACAGTTTTCCAGTAGGTTTTTAATTTTCCATATATTTATCATTATCATAAACAGTGCTGTATTGAATGTGCACAGAGATTTTTCTGCATGTGGGATTGCTTCCTTTGGGTAAATTTCTGGAAGAGTAGAAATACTTGGTCAAAGGGTATTAAATTTAGTATTCATGACAGTTGTGAGAAAAAATTGCTCTCTTGTTGTTATTACTAAAAGTAAGTGAGATACGTGACTCTGTGTCCATGTTCCTGGTCTTTAGATACCGATGTTTCTGTGGGAGTACAGGCAGCTAGCTCCGAGACTTGAAACGAGGGATAAGGAATTTATCGAAAGTTTTGATGAAAGTTGGCTTATAACTGATCCCAAGAAGAGTCAGAGAGAGGCTGCTCTTCTCCACGGGATTCTCTGTGCTCTGTAACTCCTTTCTAATGCTGAGGCTGTTATTTGGGGGAAGTAGATTTGAGTATCAGAAGTGTTGTCATAGAATAGTTACACTCATTTTAAGCTTGTTTGGAGAGTCTTTGTTAACTTTTCTAAAGTAACTTAATGTTCCCACTTCAAATTCTGTTTTCTGAGAATATTTGTAGCCAGGCAGATTTGGGATGTGTGAGAGTTCTGACTTCCTTCACTATCTAGATTTCTATTTACAGCATGAGTTGTTTTTAGACATGTTTTATCAATTTAAAATCCAAGGCAGCTTTGCGTGCCTGCTAACGCAGCCTTCCTCACTGGTGCTTTCTTTTAGGTTTAAAGACACTATTGTAAATGCCAAGTACGGAGGGCACACAGAGGCAGTGCGCCGGCTGCTGGGCCAGCTCCCCATCAGTGCCCAGTCTTACAGCGGTAGCCCCTACCTTGATTTGTCTCTCTTCAGCTACGATGACAAGTGGGTGTCTGTCATGGAGCGACCCAAGACTTGTGGAGATCACCCTATCAGGTACACCATCACTGCTTCAGCTGCTAACTGCCTAAGGGCTAAAGATGGCCCGCTTTCTCTCTCTCTCTCTCCTTGGACCTCATTCCACTGTGACTGTGCCCACTTGTACTCATGGGTTGAATTGGAAGGACAGGCTGTTTCTATATGTGGTGAGTGCTTTTGATCATGTAGGCACTAGTCTCATAAATTAAGTAGCTCTGCTCTTTGCTTCTCGTCAAAACATCCAATTCAGATAAGTGTTGTTCCTTTTTAAAGATATCCAGGGTAGGAAAGCACACACCATTTCGTAGTAGTGTTTATAGTTGAGACTTCCTAATTTTATTTCACTCAAATGATTTTATCCCCTCATGTTATTTAGTAGAAAAGATAGCAGAGATAATTTGGGGGAACAGGCAGGTTTTGGAGAAACTCCTGCTTCCTCACTTGAGAAATTTTGGAGTGTAGACTACTGTGTTATTGCTAGAACCTTGAAAACTAAGCAGTCCTTCCCTCACAAATGTCCACTCCACAGACCCCCCCCTTCTCTCCGTTTTGGGAGCTTGTGTTGTTCTGTGTGCTGTGTTAGGTCCTAGGGAGAGGACCTGTACCACCACCACCTATGGGGTGATTTCAGGGGAGGTGTGGTCCTGGAACCCTTAGCTGGAGAGTGGAAGGCCTTTTTCACATGGAAACAGTGGTGGGTAGTGTTTCATGATCCAGCTTCATTGTGTATTAAATAGGCTTGTGTAACACATTCTAAACAGTTAATCACCGCTCATGGTATTTCCTTTGGGAAATTGCAGCCATGTTCCAAAAACCAGTTAATTTTTTTTTAATTATAGAATTTATTTATAAATTATAAATATATAAATTTAATTAATTTTTTTTAACATATAAAATGTGGAAGAGTATAATGAACCTGCACGTACCCATCACCCAGTTATAACAGTTATCAACTCATGGTTAATGTTGTCATCTCTTTCCATCCACTCCCATCCATCCCCCCCAACTGCCACCCTTGATTATTCTGAAGCAAATCTCAGATTTTATAACATTTTACTTATAGATATTTCGGCATGAATTTCTAAAAAATAAGGACTTAGAAAAATATAACCTCCATACCATTATTCTGTCTTAAGAAAATTACCAAAACTTTATGACGACCACCAAGTACCTAGTTTTCACATTTTACTGTTGTCTTTTAAATATCCTTTTTATGGTTCCATTTGTTCCCATCAGGATCATACATTGCATTTGGTCGCTACTCCCTTAAGTCCATTTTATCCTATAGGTTCTGCTTCCCTCTTATGTTCCTGGCAGTGAAATTGTCCTATAGTGTTGCCCACATTCTGGAGTCTGCTCACTGCATCCCTGGAGGAGTATTTACGATTTCTCTCATCCTCGCACATTTCCTGTGAGCTGGTAGTTAGATTTAGAAGCTCAAACAACCCACTTTACCTTACAAGCCCTTTGTGTGTTGGGGACTATGTGGGTAAGGTGACTGTGGTTTTCACACATAAAAGCATATCACGGGCCTCGTTTGACATTGTCAAGGTAGCATGAGATACATTCCTCTCCTTTCTAACCTGCCTTTCTAGTTTGAAAAGAGTAACCTAAGTAACAAATTTGGGAATGCCTATTGCCGCTGACTAAAGGGGTTTTTCACTTATTTTTAATTTAAAATGAGAAATGTGCGGATACTAAAGGCATTGGAAGAGGAAATGCCATGACTTGAACACCTGTATTGTATGTTCCATTCTAGTCTTTGTCAGTACGCATGTTCACATGGACATTGTTGTAATCCTGGTTAGCGTCGTTCTTTGTAGCCTGCTTTTTTGTGTGTGTTGTTACATAGTCCTCAGAGTTACAGTCCTAATGACAGCATATTATTCCCTCAGTTAGATGTACCGCAGTTGACTGAACTAGTCCCCTGTCACTGAGCCTTTATTCTCCTGCATTTTTACATGGGAGCTGTGCTGGAGTTGCCGTCTTTATCCATATCACTCTGTCCTCCATTTAAATTAAATTCTGAGGATATAAATTCATGGAACTGGGATTATTGAGCCAGAGGCTATGAATATCTTTATATCTGCCATATGTTTGCTTTCCAAAAGGGAAGTTATAGACCTCTGTAATTCAGAGCTCTTCATTTTCTAGGACTTCCCTTAATTCAGCCCCAACCCCTGAACATCTCTAGTTCCTGATACCCAAGGACGCTTATTTTGCGTATGGGAAAATGTCTTCAAGTATGGGGACGAATGGAAGTATTAGATGAAAAATGAAGAACTACTTAGTATTTTGTTTTTGTGTGTGAAAAAGAAGGACCTTCCGAAAGAATCTGTTCTTAAAAATGAAAAACTCAAATATGGGCCAAGATCTGCGCTGTCCAGGATAGTAACCACTCACCACATGTGGTTGTTAAGCGCTTAAAATGTGACCAGTCTATACTGAGACGTGCTCACGTGTCACACATCAGATTTCAAAGGCTTAACACAAAAAACGAATGTGAAATACCTCATTAATTTTTTTTTTTACCTGGATTATAGGTTGAAACAGTAATAGTTTAGATACCAGTATTGGGTTAAATAAAATATATTACTAAAATTAATTTCACCTTTCTCTTTTTACCTTTTTTAATGTGGCTACCTGGAAATTTAAAAGTATACACGTGGCTTGCATTTCATTTCTAGCCTGGCCTAGACAGTCTCGGGGCAGCTTTTCTGGAAAAGGGTAGGCTGTAGTTAAGGCCGTGACTAAGGGTCATCTTGGGAAAGAGAAATGACCCAGTGATTCAGGACAGCGCAGTAAAATTCATAATGCCCCTGTGCATAAAATGAGCTGCTCAGACGAAGGCGGTTTTGCATTTCTGGTAACCTGGAGCTGATGTAAGAGGAGATACTGTAAGATTAAATAACGAGTTGCTGCATTCTCGTGCTGTGCAGATTCCCAGATGGTGGTGAATATCTATACCATCTTCTCTTTCTCTCCTTGTTCTGTTCAGGTTCTATGCCCGGGACTCTGGTCTGCTCAAGTTTGAGATCCAGGCAGGCTTACTGGGCCGCCCCATCAACCACACAGTGCGACGCCTTGTTGCCTTCACCTTTCACCCGTTTGAGCCTTTTGCTATTTCGGTGCAGAGGACTAATGCTGAGTATGTTGTTAACTTCCATATGCGACACTGCTGCACGTAGGTGCCTCACCAAAGCCCAATTATCTGGTCTTCCAAGACCTTGCCCCCCGCTTATCTCGGTGGACTCTGAAGCAAGAGCTCCTGGCTGCCAGCTTTGTTGGTTCCAGACTGTGGTGCCTCACATGGGGAGAGCCAGAGAGAGGAGCGAGGGGTGGCTCAGCCTAATGGAATTGTTATGGTCTCCAACTACTGATTGATTGAAAATCCTCTGGTCTTTTCCCTGTGGGAATGTCCAGCATTAATTAAGTCCATTTAATTTTTGTCTTATTTTGCATTTTGTTGCTATGAAGATGAGAGCATTACCCCGTTCCCCCTTGGCGTCCGTTCTTTGGCATTATGGTATATGCAGTCTGAAGCAGGGATGTCTTGTTGACTCACGGGAACTGTGCACATCCTTCCATGTGGCCGACAACAGGGCTGTCTTTATATTAAAAAAAAGAATAATAAAGCCTTGGTATTTTCTTACTTAGATATATCCCGTTTGATGATTGCCTTATGTCCTGATCTCACCGAATGCTTTTCACCTCTGTGGGTTCCGGGATGGACCGTGAAAGGGGCTGGAGGCCGTGGCTCCTGCAGCCACCCTGGGGAGAACTTAGTGGTGTGTGCCAGTGTGGAAGAGCCTTCTCGGCCAGGACTGTTTCCTTCCCTCGGGTTTTCTCCTGGTAATTGTTACAGCTGGAGGAACTGGGCATAATTGCACATTGTCATGAGGAAGCATGCTCCCATCTGTACCGTCTGTGTCATGCGGGTGGAGGAGTGAGCAGTTCTCTTTGGCCACAGCACATACAGACGCTGTGTAGCACGTACCGCGACTGGGGAGAGAGCTGGCAGGCTCCTGGCGTCGCCGAAGACGTCAGACCGGTTGTTCCTGGACGACCGAGCCATCACAGCTCCTGCAGACACCTGCTGGGCCCCGGCCCACCTCCTTCTGTACGGTCTCGGCCGGTGTCCTCCAGCGGCCTGGTCAGGCTGGTTATGTTTCATTTGCGTAATGTATCCACCATTTATGTAGTAAGCTTGTTCAGTAACCTCTGACTTTGAAAGCAGCCTCGAAATGTTGGGTTTCAGAGCAGGTTGTGAAAGGTGCCATGGATGCAGATGGATTCTGTATCCCTCTGACATTCCTTGGGAACATGACAAATGTGGTGTGAGACACTGAGCCCCACTAAAAGCAGTTCAGCTCATTTCATCATCTTCGGTATTGAACAGCTAAATTCACTCTCATTCAGCATTCAACACAGGATTTGAGCACCTAGTATGAGTCAGGTAGATGCTGTGCTCTGATGTGGAGGATGAGGAGAGAAATAGAGAATTTTAATGCAGTACGGCCAAAGCCCCTATAGCGGTTGTCTGGGAATGGTGGAGGAGGATGAAGGAGAGATGGAGAAGGAAAGCTCTTCTGGGGAAGGGACGCTGGAACTGGATAAATGGGAGTGTGTCGTGTGAACCAGGGCCGAGGACAGACGTTTCAAGGAGAGCTCCAGCATGCCCAAAGGTGTAGAAGCATGAAAAGGGCTGTCAGGGCTGTGGAGTGGTAAATAACAGGGCTGCGGCACGAGCTGTGGGGGAGGCCAGGGGAATGTGGCCGAATCGTGAAGAAGAGTCTTGTGCGTGGTGCTAGGATTTTGTGCAGTGGAAGAACTAATCCGAATTTCACAAAGACCGTGTTTAGCAGTCCGGAAGTCAGGGCACTAGAGACTGGAAATAAGCCGACAGGCCTGTAGGTGGCAATCCAAAGGAGAACGGGAGGGTTAGGATGACATCCCTGGGCGGCATCGGGAAGGGTGAAATACTGAGGCATCCTCCTAGATTCTTTGTAGGTCGTAAC